TATTGGTGACTCGTACAGCATTGAGGGCACTGTCAATCCTTACAAAATAATAATGCATTAGTGGGCCAGAGGAATCAAAATGTATTTGGCTGCTAGTGAAGCAGATGACAGCATCTTAACCAAGTCTCTGAATCTTTTGAGTGTCTTTTTTTTTTAATCACACTGAAGGAAGGAAGGCGAATAATGCCAGGCAATTCATAGTTAAGGTTGACATTCTCTCCTGGATTGAGTTGTTTTGTTTCAAGCCCCTTGACACTATTTAAACAGTTTTATGTATTCAATAAACACCAGGGCACTGAGAAATGTTTCCTGGAGCCCATCTCTCACTTGTATCATCTCAATAAAACCATAACTAGAAAATTGGCCAGAACTTTCTTTCTGCAAAAGGAAAAGCTGTCTCATGGTTGAAAATATTCCCCCTACTTGCTACTCTGCTTATGAAGGGCTTATTTTTGTGAATTTCAGCAGTTTGATCGCATCTTGATCTTGAAATAAAGTGTGCTTTTTCTGCAAGAGGCAGCACAGCTTCAGAAAGGAGCCTTGTACTGTGATTTTGTCTGATCTCATTAGATAAACAGGGTTGGGCTGGGTTAGTCCTTTGAAGGGAAACTTTCAAAAACTGTAGGTGATGCCAGACGTAGCGCTGGTTATCCAGTGTGTTGGCTCTGAGCCTGTTCTGATCTAATCCCCCAGTATAATACCAGAGGGCACCATGCTGCCAAAGCGACCCTCTTCCAGTGAGATATGAACCTGAGCACTTGGGATCATTAAAGATCCAATTACAGTTACAAAAACGTAATATGCCTGGTCTGGTGACCAAAATCCACCACGGGTATTGCCTTCTGCTTACCCTAATTACCCTGCAGTGCCAAATACATAAAATATCCTTCACTTCCTGTCACTGACCAGGCCTCTTATCAATTGTAAAACATGTCTTATACTAAGGACCTCCGGGATGTCATCTTTGGGGTGTTTTGCTATGAGAGAAAGCACCCCATCCTCTCCTGTAGTTTTAAATTCTGCTCATTTATTGATTTGCATGCTTGTATTTGAATACCAATATGACTACCATGTTTGCAGGAGCCAGACTGGAACTTCTGCATTGTTTTAAATCAAACCCCACATAAATAACATTTCTCCATTTCTGTTCAGGGTTTGTTTTTTATTTTAAAAACTGCTGAATGAGCAGGAAATCAATTAAAGTCAGTATTTACTCAGCAGGAGATGATTTCCCCCCTGATGTTTGCTACCTGCTGGCTATAATGAGTATGTCTTGCTGTTGTCTCACAGTGCAGAATGGACAGCTGATACCTCACTAGATCAAAATTAGAGCTTTTGGGCACGGCCGGAAGTTGAAACCGAAGGAAATTGTTCATGCAATAATTGATCTCCAGAGACCACAATAAGTCGTCCTAGCAGGGATCCTTTGCCATTAGCCAGACAAGGTAGCAGCTTTACAACTCAGGAATATTTCCCTTAAATTGTTTTCTTCCAGTTGGAGCCCTGCGCACCCTAACAACATGGAACAAAACAAGCATCATTTTAGTGAGGCATCCTGTTTACCAGCAATTTACACAGCAAAATTCTAACACATTCAAAACACACAGCAACTTGCGGGGACTGTTAAGGGAAAAGGCACACAGGGATTGTGCAGACAATATAAAGAACCAAGTCTGTCCAACCGATGTAAATATTGCATGGAGGGAAGTGAGTGGGAAGGGTATGTAAGGCTGCTGAACTTAGATGCATGTTTGCAGTAAAGTGAAGTGTGAGTAGGGTGGCTAGAGTCATGTTTTAAATGGTATCCCAAGATGCATTGCACAGTTAATGTATTTCAGTGCTTTCCATGGTGTCTATCATACTATACCATACTGTATTCAAGAGTAGAGTGCAGCCTTTGCTTTGTAAGTAATCCTGCACACAGGCAATCGCCTTCACCTTTCTCCGCCTCCCTCAAGGACAGAGTTCTGTTTTCTTCAAGAGCATCAGAAATTTATATCTCCAGGATTAGTCAAAACCCAGTTGGGTTGAGATTAAATCAAAGTAAATATTTATTGAAATTCTATGGAATAGAGAGAAAATAAATAGAGCTCTTAAATATTAAACAGATGATGAACTCTGGTAAATCTTAGTTTGGATGGGAAAGACTGACTTATGGGAAATGAATACCTCATGAAACAGTTGGCATAGAATCATCTTTTTATCTCTCTCAGCCCTTTTGAAAACAGTATGTCTCCACCCTGGCAATGGAAACAGACTGGGCCACCCAACTTCATCGTGTGGGGGAACTTCTGGTGTCCACCCTTTAAAATATGAAACAAATTGGGGAGGATTCAGAGAAGAGCTACAAGACTGTTTAATTGTCTGGAAAATACACCTTACAAGGAGAGATCTAAAAGATAGTTATTCTCTAGTTCAAATGCAAGTTATTAGCCTCGATGCAAAAAATCACTGAGTAAAATGCTGTGTGCTGCATTATGCAGGAGGTCATGCATGATTCTTTCTTGTCCCTTTAAAAACTATGAATGAGGCTTTCAGTTTTCTCCCTAATCCCAAAAATTCTAGCAAAAAATGAAGAGCAAAGACTCTCTTGTTTGTAGCAAACATTATGAGAGGTGTGTGTGTGTAAGGGGGAAGAGTGGGAGGTTAGACTGTGTTTGTAAATGTTATATTTATTTACTTTTCTGCAGTGCCCATTGCTGCAGGATCTTGTCTTTTTAACAGTGTGAACCACCACAGCATAGTCTCATTGAAGTAATCATCTGTCATATGATGGCACTGTGTGCTAACCACCAAACCTGGCTTTGAGAAGCTATTGGAGGTATTAAGTTCAACCTTGTGAGGGCCATTGGCTGAAAATATCCTGCTGGCTTTCTTGGACAACAATGTTACGGGCACCATCAGTGAGTGCAGTCCAGCAGCTCTTGACCCCTGTGACAGGATCACTCACATAACAGGGGGCTAAACCATTCAGGTCTTTACAGATTTTAGGATAGTCAGTACATTGAACTGCACTCAAAAATATATGGTATTGTTTGCTCTGCCCTGACTAAATGGTGAAATAAACATAGCCACCTACCCCACTTAGGAAGAGATTCTGCATTAGCTAAAGCTTAGGAATCTCTTTAAAGATAGCTCCAAATAAAGCCCATTGTAATAGTCTAGACATAAAGCTGTGGGGTATGTGTGTGAAGGGGGATTATGAGAAGATTTTGTGCGGGGTTTTGTGTATATGGGGGAATTATTATGAGAGAGGATTTGGGGGTGTGCGCTCAGGGAATTGATTATAAGAGGAAATAATGTGAGAGCTCATGCATGTGGGATTATGAGAAGTGATTGTGGAAGGTGCAATTATAAGAAGGTTCTGCATAGGTAGTGGAATTAGGTGAGGATAATGTAGATCAGGGTAGTGTTGGAGCAGAAGAGAAGACAGACTTAAGAGGGGGAGAGGAAGGACGAGAGAGCGATAGGTGAAGGGAAAACAGAGCTGGCAGAAGGGAGGGAGGGAAAGGAGGGCAGTGAGAGTGGAAGGGAGATGATAGACCCTGGCAGTCAGTGGGAAAGAGGAATAGGAGCCCTCTCAAATCCAGGGAAGGGGAACATTGGGGTCTAGAGCAGTGATACTCAGATCTCAGTGGTTTAGGAGCCAAGTTAGTGATCAACATTACCCAAAAAAGCCACAATAGTGTGAATTCATTGTTTCATTTACTATAGTACTATAGTACATATTCATATTTAAACAGTATGATGGGAAATATTTAGTGTGTGTGTGTATGTATATATATATATTAGTATATTATTCTAACAGCAAAAAGATGGACCAAGTATTATTTTATCAACTACAATTGGTTAATAACATAGTAAAAGCATCCTGATTGGTTACTAACATAGATGGGTTAATAATTAAATTCCACAGTTTAATCCCAAAGAGCCGCAGGAGACACATTAAAGACTCACTTGTGGATCTCAAGCCTCTGTCTGAGTATCACTGGTCTAGAGAAAAAAATGAGGTTCCTCAGATGAGAAGAAGTTATGAGAGGTGTGGAAAAGGGACAGAAAGTAACAGGGAATAAGAAAAATAAATGAGAGAGAAAACACAAGGAAGCAAGTGGGAGACAGAGGAGAGAAACAAAGGGAAAAAGAAAAATTAAAAGAGCACAAGGAAACTTACACTAAATCTAAAATGTAAAGTTTATGTCTTCATTATTCTGTACATTTTTGGCTGCATCTGGAAAGAGCTTTATCTACAGGTGTCTTTGCTACTAACTGTAGGAGTAGATTTTTAGGAGGTGGTTCCCCTGCAACTAGCCAAAAAGATGTCAAAATAATAAGACTCAATTTGTTCCTTTTTTAAAATATAATTTTATTCAGCCCATATTTACTCTCTAACAAATCACATTTCCACTGATATCAACAGCGACTGAATGGAAGGTGTTGGAGAAGGATTTCATTGGCTGTGGTGAGGGATCCTGCCATATCATGATGCCAAGGATATCTTTTATCCTTCAGTGATTTTTGGTTTGCCTTTGGGACACACAAGATCATGCCAGATGGCATGTGTGGTGTAATAGCAAAAAATTCCAAGGAGTGGGGGAAATCCCTGAGGCTTTATCAGCCAGGAGATTGGGAAGGAGAGGGCAACACAGTGGGCAGGTGATAGATATATAAGTGTATCCCTAGATATAGCTTGATTTAAGGCTTGTCAGATTCAGGCACAGGCACTCATGTAACTGTATCACTTCATGGAAAGATAAGCTCCTCTTTTTAAAAAGCAAATACATGCACATACTAGTGCTGAGAGAATATATGATTTTTTTATTATTATTCCATGGCAGAACCACAAAAATCAGAAAAAAAAATTGGTTAGGGTTGATCTGAAAGTGAAATTTTTCACTTTTTCTCTCTGAAACAAAAAATTGTTTTGGGTTGAAAAAAACATTTCAACCCAATATGATTTTTCCTTTGTTTTTTCCCCTTTTGTTATGTTTGTCATATGTGTTTACCCTTTTTAAATGTTTTGCAATAAATCTATCTAAATTTTCAAACAGAATGTCACAAAAACAAAAAGTCAAAACTCTTTGTTTCAAAAATGTTGAAATGATTTTTTTAAAACTGTTGTCATTTTTTTATTCAGCCTAAATTATTTGCTGAATTCAGCCTGAGTTTGTGAATAGTTTTGTGACCAAAAATACATTTTTCAGTGAATAAACAGTTTGCTGAAATTTTTCCCCCTAGCTCTAGCATTTACCCTCCCGACGGAAATAGGTAAGTTTCACTCCCATTCTCTGATTCTCCTTATTCCTCGACTGCAGCCACCCCACCACTGCTATGCCTTATGCCTTGGTATATTTCTCCTGATTCTTTCTTTTTGTCCCCTCCTCCCACTACCTCTTTCCTACCTCATCTCCTCCCTCAACTGATGTGCAATCACAACAATCAGAGGCTCCCTAGTTCATGTTCTGGCCACTAGTACTGCAAGCCACATGGGCCCAATGATCAAAATAAGCCTTTGTTACATCACACTTTTCATCTGTAGACCTAAAACTATCACACACCCCTGCAAAAAAACAAGCATTATGCCAAGTAAATCAGTGTGGTGGGATGGTGTGCATGCAAGTCAACATATTCTGATTGTACCAGAAAATTTACATTATAATAGGAATATTTTCCTACATTGGACATAGAATTCCAAACTACATCTTGTCTCTAAACTGAATATAGTCAGCAATATTCACATCTGTTATAAAAATGTGATTTCTTTACATAAATAACCATCTATAAACTACACTTTATAATGGATTTAAACATCTGAAAGGTACAGAATTATATTTACTTTATGAGATGCTAAAAAGACACTGTCAAGTATATTTTTAAATAGAAAATGATTTGATTTTTTGCTATGTCTATGGAATGAAATATATTTCCAACTTGAAATTATTAATTTTTTCCCTACTCACTGTGCTTTTCAATTTAAAAAGAAATTGTTTCTCTACCCAGTGGAGTCTGGACTGAAGCTAAAATTAACATAGCTGGTTTTGTTTAACAATTTCAACTTGCTGTATAGCTATAAATTATACAGTGCCCTGCACACCAGGCTGGGGTCTATCCTCCACCCTTACTTAGATAAAACTTTCATAATTAATTCAATAGGAGTTATGCCTGATAAGGACAGAGGGTCAGATTAATGTCAAGAATGTTAGCACAAGTGCGGGAAGAGTGCTACTTCAATTTAAAATCTATCTGGAAGAGGTCAAATTTTAAGATTAAAAACCTTGACAGTGCTTGCCTTTAACATTCACATCTACTTTCCATTTACTACCAAAGTCTAATTTCTATCTAATACCAATTTTTAAAAATTACATTTTCTAAACTAGAAGGTAGAAGAATCTTCAACAAGAAGCATTCACAAAACAAAATAAAATGCAGTATAAATTATGTAAGATTGACTGTCCTGTCTGGAGAACTATGTGTATTGTCTGAACACCCAAGCTCACCCAAACACTGAACAATTAAGAGGAGATTGGATTCCTTACATAACAAAACACAGATGAAGTACACAATTCGTGACTCTTTCTAGTCTATGCCATATGTATACACAGATATGTCTATCAGGAGAGAGAAATCCTTCCATAGTCTCCACATAAATCCATAGACATTTCTGACATCATGCCCAATTCTTCAGTCCTTGCTTTTTATTGTTGTTTACTTCTTTTCTCCATTTAACCATTTCTACTTTCATGTGTGGGCAATACCACAATGTGATTGTGGATATGCTGTAAAAGTTGTTATTGCAATAATTTACGTTTAATATCTCAGGCCTGATTTTTCAAAAGGACTTCACCCCAGTATCCTTCTCATATATGCAAAGTTGTGTGTGCTAACACCTCTGTGTGCACTTTTCCATCACTAGCACCTGTGTGTGCTGGTAATAGCATTTCTACACACTCAACTGGGCTGGTGTTAGACTCTGTCACTTGCATGCACGGGTGCTGAAAAGTGTGCGCACCAGTATATGCATGTGCACGGAAGAAAGTCACTTTAGAAAGTCATGCCTTTAGACATTCCGCTTGCTGTTTAAAGCTAAAATATGTTAAATTCTCAGAATACTTATAACACTTCAAAAGCTGTCACAGGCTGCTGTCTGGACAAGTGTATTTCATCTGCCTGTAAAATTACTAGTTTTTATTTCTCTTGTTAACTTTCACCAAAAAAAATGAAATAAATCTACTTTAAAAGTGTCCTGGACCCATTGCTTTGGATCAATAGCCCTTTCTTTTCTCCAGCAATATCTTTTTTTAATTGACCATTAAACCAAGAATTTCAAAGGGTGATAGCTCAGCTAAAATAAGGACGACCAAGAGTTCTATGCAAATAGCCAATATATTTTGATTTCATGGAATTGGTATTTAACCATAAAATATAAAAATAGAAATTTGTAATCAGGACTGATAAGGAACCCCAATCTATTAGTGTCTTGGAATTGTCAAGAGATACTCTGAGCTATCTCTAAAAACTGCAATTTTGCATGAAAAGGGTGAGCCAAACTGCCGGTGGAAAGGACACCCTCAAGTTATAGAATATGTTTACAGGAGGCTTTAGTACAAATGCACCATGCTGGAGGGCTGGTTTCAAAGTCCCTCATCTCCACAGAGCCTAATAACTCCAGTCTCTTTTTAGAAATGGAGGTGACACAAAGCACAGACCCTAGCAGTGTCCATGACCCATACAATTCCCTTGGCATTTCCTACCAGCTAATTGCTTAACTGTGGTGTTTTCATCTCTTCAGAACTAAGTCATGTTACAAATCAAACCTTAGTCATCTTTCCAAGACCAGACAAGAAGATAAGGGTTTGAATTTATCTTGGCCATGTGTAGCCTCTCCTTTTCTGTAGCAGTTCATGGGGGAGCAGACGCATTCATGTGCATGTAAGAGTACCTGGAGAGAGATGCCCCTGTGGTCTTCCCCTCCTCCTCATCTCCAATATCTCCTCTTATTACTGGAGGCTTTTGTTTGGGACAGCAGGTGAAAGTGGCCAGAAAGCCCATCCGGAAACGCTTGTTCATGAAGCAGTAGATGATGGGGTTCACACAGGATGAAGTGTAGGAGAGCAAATGAATAAAGGAGATAGGAGCTCCTGAGAGAAGTTGGTCTGCTGATGTGGTGTCAAATGCACGCCAGGCATTTACACTGAAGATGGGAGTCCAGCAAAGGAAAAACAAAATCACAATCACCATCAGCATGCGGATGACAAGCTTCTTGGCCATCAAGTTGGCAGTTGAGCTGTTGCTTCTGACCCTGTCTATTTTGGTGCTGCTGGTGGCAGAAAGCTGTTGCAGTGGCATTTTTCTCTTCTTTTTGGTTTTCTGCAGGTAGCAACCATCTCCATTCTCATATTTGTTGCTACTGGTGCTGGCTTTCCTGTCTGTATGTACAAATCAGCAGCACTCACATAAATATGTAACACAAAACATTTCTGAATAGTGATTCAAAATATAAACAGATTAGTGGAGTCTAAATTTTGAAGTAAACAAAATCCTTCATGGATGATGAGCAACGAGTGGTAAAAACTGTCATTCCAATTCTAAAGTGAATTTTGATTCAGTCATTTTTGTGACCATCTGGTGTTCCCTTTCTATGAACATCTAAATGTCTGTAGTACTGTGAAAATTGGCAAAAAAAGGAACATTAAGATTGAATGCTCAAATTTCTGCTTGAAGTAATTTTTGAATTGTATTTTTAGATTAAATTTACAATTCCTGTCATATTGCTTAATAGCAAAAATAATCTAATCTGTGATGAGAAACAATATCCATTTGGTGTATTTAACTAAAACATTGGGAATTACAAATATCCTGTCTGAACTCTTTGCAAATAATCTGCAGATGATGGATTATTCACTTAAGAAATTTTCCAATAATTTTGATTAACAAATACATGCAGTAGTTTTGCAATCTGTTCATAGATGTTTTGTAAACAAAAAAGAGGTGGCATTTATAGAATAAATTATTGACTCCGCTCTACTATTCACATCTTCAAAGATGAATTTAAAACAAAAACAAATACAAACATGCTGTTACCTCGTGAAGATTTTCTCTGGCTGACATCAAACTTTATTCCTCTGTATAGTTCCAAAGAGATTAAGCCATATGCAATCATCATTACAATACCAGGTATAAGAAAGAGTATGAGCAACAGGAAAACGTACCTGAGGAAGCCACAAAAGAGACTGAGATTAGGGAACAGCAGAAATACAGAGACGCAACTGTATATTTTTGTTTGTTTTCTAAAGATCTGGGTGAAATGTTTTTAGGGCTGATGAGAGGTACTCTATTGACAGTGCTGGAAGTTAGAATCCCCTTTTTTCCCTCCACAGAAATAGTACAGTGCAAACAATAGCAGAGCTGGTTTTTCCACGCTGTCCATCCAATGTGTCTCACCCCCAGAGGCACTTAGGGCTAAAAAAAGATGCTTCAGTCTCTGTGCCCATTCAATACCTGTCCTCTACCGAGACCAGAATCATGTCTATGGTGGTGGTGATGGTTTTTATGATATAAAAGCTTGTCCAGTGGGAATTCAAATGAGCAGCTACCTGTGCTTAAGTGAGATGCTGATATTAGCCATTAACTTTCAAAAGAAATTTTGGGCCCCGGTTCATCATGTTTGCTGGGTCTCCAGCCTTTCCCATTTCACTTCATTACAGATGTTACAGACTTGGGGAAGGAGGGAGTGCTGATCTTGGGATCCTGGTACAACTGTTTCCCCTTTCCTCTCCTTCATCAACCTGGATTATTACATCCATGGAGTGGGACTGTGCTCCTTCCCCTTCTCCTCCCCTCCCGCCCCCGAGGAGTGTGCCCCCCCAGAGGCACGCACTGGGAGGGAGATGCATTTCATTCCCCTCTAGCCCCATACAGATTCTGAAGGAAAGATGTTACAGTTTGGTCTCTTATTTTTCTGCTGAATCCCTTCCATAGGAGAGATTCCACTTTAAAGCAAATCCTTTAGTATTTGATTACACATTGCATATGGGTAAATATACTACATAACAAAACATAAGCAGTTTCTCTAATGGTACCTACACCCAGGTAAATTATTTTGCTTTAAGGTATTTTATTAACAAATCAATCATATATTTTGAGCCTAACCATTTGCTCCTTGCAGGAACATTGCTGCAAATTCACTGGCATTGCTCTGGATTTACATTGGTATAACTGAGAGCAGAATTTGGCCTTTTAACTTTTCTCTTCATACATCCTCATTATGGCATTATACCTTAAACTACTGAAAATGTTAATATCAAATAGATATTTATATGCATGAACCATATTTAGGTGGTGCAAACTATAGACCTATTCTGCCTCCCATTAAAGACAGTAGGAAAAATCCTTTATCTTCCCTGCACCAACTAAAGTGCTTGATTACAGGAAAAATAAATATTAGGAAAGTATTAAAGAGTAAAAATGAGCTTGTTTAATGCAACAGTGCAGCTCCTTGATTATGTCCCTATGTTATTTCTGTGCCGTTTATTCCTAGGGTGTGGACATTTAACACTGACTGTACCCTAATAGCCTGCTGCCCCCTTTGCACTAATCTCTCTAGTCACTAGGTTGGTTCTGTTCTCAGGTACATTTGCTACTTCTCCAATTTTCATGTCATCATATTTGTTCACAATTGAAACTGCATCAAAGAAATGCAGACAAAGAAGTGAATCAGTCCTGGAAGGGGCACAGAGATACGTGTGGCTTTTAAAAAGATTAATTGTTAAAAATAAACAAATCCTCAGGAAATACAAAAAATAAAACAGACGGAGCTATACTAACATGAAGCATCACTGCTGGAAGTCTGAGAGAAGCCTTCATTTCAGTGACAGTGGCAGCTTCGTAGACTACAGTTTGAAAATCATTGCCCCTTTACATATATCCCCCAGATGTGAAGCAAAAGTAATAAATGTATTTAAAAACAAAAAATAGCAGCAATTAAAAATAGAAATTCTTGTGACTTTTTAAACAAGCATAAAAGAATTATAAACAGTCACTAATGGTTAATAATTGATTTTCAACAGGCTTAATGCTACCATGTAATCCTATTTTCTGCCAGATAATTATATGTTATTTAACAGTCAATTATATCTTACCAGGACTGCTGAATGACATCGCTTGGCCAAAGGAGGCGACACATGTTAGCTGTGCTGTTGTTATATTTTGTAAAAGGCACCAGTTTGCTGTAAATTGGGTATGGTGACATGATGGTAAAGGAGAGACACCAAGTAGCAGCAATCACCTTCAAGGCATGAGATTTTGTCTGCCATACCCTGGACTGCAAGGGTTTGCAAATAGCACTGTATCTCTCCAAAGATATGGCAACCAGGTTGAACGTAGATACACTTACTGAGACACCTAAATATATAAAACAAAGCAACGGGTTCTTGTTTTAAAAGGCTGGCTCTTTGTAGATAAACTTGCTAAGTTTCCATGGACATATGCGAAACAATGAAAATATAGCATTACTCATATTTTCACAACTCATTAAGTTAACAGAGGTGGACCTGATTCACCTTTGTGATGCTCCAGATTTATGCTTGTGTAACTACTGATGTGTATGAAAAAATAATTGACATCTTTTGACTTAGTTCCATCAAAGCAGGAAGCTGTTACCAATCAAAGTACTGATTCATCTCTGTATTACTCCAGTTTTTACACTAATATAACTTTACGGAAACATAACCAGGCACTTTGGAATCAGTGAGGTTACACTGGTGTGCATCTGGAGTAACAAAGCAGTGAATCAGGTATGATTTTAGTTTTAATTAAAAAAAGCAAGTATCTTGTTTAATTGACAACCTAACTTCCTGTTTTGATAAAATGAAGTAAAAAAACCTAAATAGTTACATTTTCATAGATTTTAGTGGAGTCACACTGGCATAAAACTGGAGTAATGCAGTAGGAATCAGACCCATTTTCTATAAAATGTTCATTAATTTCTCCTCCTCACTATATATAATATTTCAAACTTTCAGTGCAATGTGCTATTTTTTTTTCACTGTGCACCTCTGATGTGTTTACTGTATGACTTATGGGACAATTCACCTTGAGTCTTAAAATAAAATTAACTTTGTAATTGTAAAACTTGATATTAGAATATATTCCCTTTGAATATATATATATATGTATGTGTATGTATGTGTATGTAATTGGTAACACTTAAATTGAAATATAAAAAATATGCTTCAGTAATTTTCATGACGTTTATGTCAGTAATTCATTACATGTTTAACTATGACCTTTAGTTTTATTGATTATATCTAAGGAAAGATGTTGACTTCCCATTCCCACACTTTCAAAATGTATTTTCACATTACATCATAGTTTTCAAGGGCACACGTTAAACAGAGGTTCTTGTAATTAATTGCTAAGTCTCATTTTGAGATAACATAAACTTTTCAGAATTCCCTCTTTTCTTTTTACATTTTTAAACATTAAATCTAAAAAGTTGGGACAGTATCACTTATCCAGATAATTTATAAACCAGGCCCTTTCATGGATCCCACTTCTATAATGGGAGGCAGCTGAAGCCAAAGCATATTGAATGTGGTGGTGGTCTTTAAAATATGACTCCCTAAAAATAGTATCATTAGGCTTCATATTTATTGCCTCTCAGTGACTCCGGGTTATATTTGATCAGTTAACAAATAAAAGGATATTTGTTCTAACTGACAGCCCTGCAAATTCCACCTGGATTTGCAAAATCAGAATGTTGGGGTTTTTTTCCTTCTCATTTGTCACCAGTAGTAGAAATTCTGTGGGCCAAATTCGGCCCTTGGTAATGGTTACCCTTGTACAATCTTATTGTATTTGCTCTGTAATTAGAACAATAATGATTCTGTTGATGATATGCAAGAAGGAATAGAATCCAACTTCTCTCCAGGGCTTCACCCTGCAAAGTGCTGAGCCTAATCTAGCAGAACACTTAAGGATGTGCTTAATTTAAGTGTATGCTTCAGTGCTATGTTAGATGAAACTACAGAGCTCAGCATCTTGCAGGATTATGCCCCCAGAGCTGTGCAGAGCTCTCTCGTCAGCTCTAACAAGAGAATTAACTTTTGTTATCAAGGTGATCAGCTATGGCTCTGCATACAGCACACAGGGAGAATGTTTGCTGATTACAGAGGATGACACTTTTACTAATCGCTTTTTACACAGGTGATGGAAGTAGGGGTACTGGTGTTTGCTGCCTCACCCCCTGGCTTGAAGTGGATTCCATTATATACAGGGTTTACAGTTTGGTTCAATGGCTCTCAGCACCACCACTATAAAAATTGTTCCAGCACCCTGTCTTCTTATAGCAATTTAAGTCAAATTTTAATTAAAGAAAAAGGGTTTTATAAAATATGCTTTTTCCCATCTTCATGTGACTGCCTGGGCTACTTTTGTTCCTTAGTGCTGATCTTTCCAATAAGGTGTTAATGCCCAGTCAGTCCTGCTTAGCAGGTTTTGAGAGTGCTTGGCACTTTAAAGGATCTGGCCCTTGTTTAGTATCTCACAAATTTAATGGGTTATTTACTTTAGAGTAGGTACAAAATTCAGAGACTTACCCATGAAGTAGGTGGCAGTTTTACAAACAGCACTACCAAATATAAAATCCTTCAGCAGGTTGGGAATGAGGGTGAAAGGCATGCAGAAAAGGCAAAGCATTAGGTCACTGACAGCCAGCGACAGCAAAAATATATTAGTGACGGTCCTCATCCTTTTGTTTCTTATCAACACTGTAATTACCAGCATGTTCCCCACGACACTGAGCAAAAATATCAACGAATATAGCAGAATTCGAACTGTTTGATGTAAATCTGAAAATTGCCACAATGAAGAATCAGTTATGAAATATGAAAATTATAAAACTAATTAATTTTTATCACAGGGGTTTCATCCATTAACCAAAAGGTGAAGACTTCTCATCATTCAAGGCAGTAGATTTGATTTTTATCTCACTTATGCAAATCTACTGAAGTCATGTCATTACACCAATGTAAAACTGGTGGAAGTTAGAAATCCTGGGCCTGATTCTGACCTACCTGAACTGTTCTTTGAGACAGTAAGAAACATTATGACAATCTATATTATTTTAATACATGAGCAAATTTTCTTTAGCGGCTACATACAGTGTTATAATTTCATGTTAGTTGCTTCCACATACTGCATTAGATCAGATAACTTCATTGTTATAGAATTATTCAAGAGCAATATAAAATTATGTTTCATTAAACAATTATCAGTACTGTTTACATTCTATTCTAACTGAGTATTACTTTCTAGATGTATTTATAATCTGGAAAAACAGGACATATAAAGTTCTTGCTGGTCTGTTTCTTATCCTAATTTAGCAACAAATGGTTATTTTCACACTGCCTCACCTACAAACCTTTGTGTACCTGTTTTTCTTGAAATATCCATGAGTTTGCCTTCAGCTGGAACTGGTGATGTCTGAAAAATCTATTTTCCTCCACATACCTTTAGCAAGATGAGGTGAGTCATCCACACAGAAAAACGTATCATTTTCCATGACAATATCACACAGGAAAGCAGAAATATTGGTTCCATTCTCAAGTAGGATGTCATCAACTATTTCCATTCTTCAGTCTCCACAGGTTAGCTTATATGTGGTGAAAGGCGGATTTGCAACTATCTGCCCATTCTTTCTATGAGCAAAAATATTCCTGAATGAAGTCTGCAGTGAAAAGATTTGACAAAGGTTTTCCAAGTAAGTCTTTTTTCAGCTAGCCATAAGGAATATCCAGTACAAGGAATTCTGTTCAGAATGAAAAAGATTTATTCCAGTAGAATATAAAGCAGTTTAGATGCATGAGAGAAAAGCATGAACACACACGTCTTCTCCTGTACCTTCTAGATCCGCCCCCCTTCTATTATTGGGTTAGTGTTGGGATTATAAACATACTAGATAGCGATTATAAAATTAACCCCTTGCAAGATTGTTTCAGCTCACACATCTACAATACCTCTCTATGTGAATCTGTTATTGCCACAGATAATAAATCATGAGCAATAAATGATTTAACAAATCACTCTTCCAGCTAACAATATTTAACAAGATAATAGAAAATACTTGAACAAAAGGATGCAGAAAAGAAGAAACATAGTTAGAGCTTTGTATGTCTACATTTGTATTTCATTATATAAAAACAATTTAGTTTCTTTTACGTTTGGAAAAAATGCAGTAACATCTCTAGGTACAACTGGAAAACCGGCTAAGTAACAAATGGAATAATTTATCACTCAGGTTCCTGTAAAATGGGGATAATGATACTTATATTCCTTTGGAAAGCACTTTGGGATTCTCATATGGAAAGCACTATAGGGCCTGAGCCAAATCCCACTGAAAGCATTGGGAGTCTTTCCATCACTTCAATAGGCTATGGATCAGGCCGTATAAAACTGAAATATGAATATTGTTTGTTAATATAAGAAGGATCCTGTGAATTTTCTCTGAGTATGGGCTTATACGAAAGCTTTATAAATTTCCATTGCACTTGCATTATCTGTAATTAGACTACAACAGGGGTCGGCAACCTTTCAGAATTGGTGTGCCAAGTCTTCATTTACTCACTCTAATTTAAGGTTTTGCGTGCCAGTAATACATTTTAACATTTTTAGAAGGTCTCTTTCTATAAGTCTATAATATATAACTAAACTATTGTTGTATGTAAAGTAAATAAGGTTTTAAAAAGGGGATGGTGTAATGGGATAGCCTAATTTTGGCAATTAATTGATCTTTGACTATTAGCAGTAAATATGCCCCGTGGTCTGTGATGGGATATTAGATGGGGTGGGATCTGAGTTACTACAGAGAATTCTTTCCTGGGTGTCTGGCTGGTGAGTCTTGCCCACATGCTCAGGGTTTAGCTGATCGCCATATTTGGGGTCAGGAAGGAATTTTTCTCCAGGGCAGATTGGCAGAGGCCCTGGGGGGTTTTCGCCTTCCTCTGCAGTGTGGGGCACAGGTCACTTGCTGGAAGATTCTCTGCACCTTGAAGTCTTTAAATGATTTGAGGACTTCAATGGCTCAGACATAGGTTTGATACAGGAGTGGGTGGGTGAGATTCTGTTGCCTGTGTTGTGCAGGAGGTCAGACTAGATGATCATAATGGTCCCTTCTGACCTTAAAGTCTATGATTTTATGCAGAGCGCCCCGGACCGGTGGCCAGGACCCGGGCAGTGTGAGTGCCACTGAAAATCAGTTCGCTTGCCGCCTTTGGCACGTGTGCCATAGGTTGCCTACTCCTGGACTACAAGATAGCAACAATGAATAAACAACATCTATTTCTGATAATGTTTTTCTCCAAACACTGTCTTCTCTCTCCTATTTCCACAAAGTGTGTAAACCCAAAGCTGGGTGTAAGCCTAGGAAAAATTAATAGGCATAATTCATTACAAGAAATTACTGAATAATAATGAAATAAATTCATCCCTGCTGTTACTCCATTGAAGTCAAATTTATTTTTAAAAGGGAGAGCAATAACAGGATTATGTCCTTCCAACCCCTTCTTTAAACTAAATATAACAGGATTGGAGGGCCTGGATTTATTTTCCAGCTCCTCCAACCTCTGATGCATAGCCACATTTTCTGGAATATTTATGTGGGGGAATATACAGCAACACTGCAGATAAAGTCTAAATTGCTCTCATGCCTTAAAAAGGTTTATTATGATCCTTATCAATTTGTTGTACAGACTCTTGTACATTTTCTAATCTGAGGTAAAACAGAGTCAAATTTTTGATCAATGTATACAATGTACTTAATGTAATTCCATCAGAATGAAATAAACTAAGTTCAGCAGGCAACACTCCTTTCCTCTTTCCAGGAATATGTCATATATGATACAAACCTAGGAGCCTTTGTCTACCTGTGACATTCTAGAATTATACGTTCGGGGATATTTTTTTAATCTAGAATTTTATCTGAGAGAAATAGCTTTAAATACAACTTGTTTCAATTTTTACAGCCAGGTTAATTTGAACATTAGGTACATCAATCTTTGAATAACTGAGTTTGATCTCTAGCTTTCCAGTTCACCTTTAAATTCTTATTTTACATAATAAATCACAGAGATGGTACTAACCAACTCTTACATGAAATGGCAGACAGACTGTTTGTATTTAAATGCAGGAGTGAATTTGGGGTTATTTCAGTATTTACTGAACACTTTCACTGTCAATTTCAGATGGTCCAAGTGGGAACTATCATTAGAGTTGATTCCAAGCGCCTGCATTTTTAAAAGGGCAGCTTGCAGATGTATTGATTCAATGCACAGGATGCACAAGAAAAACAAAAAAACTTTTTTGAAAAGACACTTCTACTTTTTTTTTTTCTTTTCCTGATGGGTGATAATATTGGAAAGACAGTGAGGTGAAGCAGGAGATATGTTGAGCTGCCAAACATTACTATTAAGCATTTACTTTGCTGTAAGTGATCCGAGAGTCATCAGACCAAAATAAAACAGCATTTTACAACTTTCCTCTGAGTCTTACTACAGTGTTTGCACTCCTCCAGTCAAGATTCTGATCCTGCACTCTTTATTTGCATTCCACTCACTTCAATGAGAGCTTCTTTGGTTTTAGGCTCCTTTCTTAATATACAAAATGGGTGCTTAGGATCTGCAGATTCATAAATTTAATAGATTTAGGTGTCATAAGGGACCATTATGATCATCTAGTCTGACCTCCTTTGTAATACAGACCATAGAATTTTATCAAGTAATTCCTGCAGCCAATAACTTGTGGTGGAATTAGAGCTTTTCTTTTAAAAAGATTTCAGACTGTTGCTCTAGCTAGTCAAGATGAGTTATCCTTGATGAAGGCGGGGCTCTCCTCCATGCTACATACTCCACCAGAAAATATTTTCCTGCTTGGCAAAGACTTGTAGTAGTGGAATGATTTGCTGTGTTTTCAGTTCCAGTTGCATTGGTTACCTGGTGTTAGCAATAAATCATTTGTTGTTTTTTACTCTGTATATATTGCTACTTGAGGTTGGATTTTCTCTCAGACTCTTTTCTCCTGCAGCTTTGATATTGCTTACATCTTAATATTTGTTTCTGGGTTAGTAGCTAGTATCCTGATGTGTGTATCGTGTCCTTGTCATTAATGTAACATGAAAAGGTAAGCAGACCATGGTATAATAAATACAAAGGCAACTTTTATTGAGACACAGCCTGAGTGCCTGTATCGTCTCTGGCTGCCTAGCTCCCAGATTTACCAATACAGCATGTGCTGAGCAGTCCCCCTGCATGAGGTCCCCGTAAGTTCTGACCTGAAATAAAAGCAATGGAATGCAGTAAGTAGCCATGGGGGTAGATGTCTCTTCCTCTTCTCTCTCAATGAGCAGCCTGAGTGGGGATGTGAGTGGAGCTTCCGAGATACTCTTCTCCTTAGTCAATGAGAGAGCGAGCCTGGATATAACTTTAGGGCAGAAGGGAAGAGAATCGATTGGGGACCATTTGGGACCGGTCCAAAAAATGAAGTGTTGTCAGGCAGATGGTATTGGGGTCACTCAGACAGGACTCTGTAATCCTGAAGTGGCCAGGGAATCACAAGAGACAGGGCAAAGATGTAGGCTTCTCAAGGAAGAATTGGCAAAAAAATGGTGCTAGCAAAGGGTTTGGGGTTTTTTTGTGGTGGGGGTGGAAGATGAATTGTGTGGTTTTACTACTTAAAGTTAATTTTTAGTTTTGACATCTGTGGAACAAGCTGACAGAATAGCTGAGTTAAAACTTACAAAAGAACCCTTACCTTCTCATTTTGAAAAAAACCCACCTAGGTTTTTATATGGAATGCTGCAAGGTCTATGCATTTTATATACCACTGAAAATGTTTGTTGCTAAGATTTAATATCTGATGGTCTGTAATACAGAGCCAATAACCATGCTCTGTTTGGTAAGGTTTGAATGTCTGCCCTTTTAAGTTGTTTCGCTCTTTCGTGTATACATAACTGACTAATTTCATGGTAGACCACTACTTATCAAGCCGAGCAGTCTCCTTGTTTCCTTGTGCTCCCCTGTCTGTCAATTTGTCTTTTACTTAAATTGTAAGCTCTTTGAAGTAGGGACTGTCTTTTTGTTCTGTGTACAGCACCTAGCACAATGGGGTTCTGGTCTCTGACTCTCCTAAATGCTACCACCATACAAATAAATAATAATAAAAATTATATAGTCTAAGTATCAAAATTCATAAGCACCTTTTTAAATGCTCCATACACTTACTATAAAATAGCAGGCCTAAGACACAATCCAGCACCCAGTGAGGTCAATAGGAGTAATTTCATTGACTTTACTAGTTGTTGGATCAGGCCCCAATACTTGAAATTGTATAGAAAATCACATAGCATATGGCACACATTGTACAGTATCAAATTAAATACATAGACACAGATAACACGTGCCTCCTGATACTTGGAAGACATAATGTAAAGGAGAGGACATGTGACCGCCCCACTTGTCTCCTCTGGGAGGAACTTCCAGCCCCACCTCCCTGGGCCAGGGCAGACAATCCCGCCAGGTCCTGTGGGGCTGGGGCAGATCAAGCAGAAATCTGGGCTGGGGGCACTCCTTCCCTACATGTCGCGTATGCATAGGCAATGTAGAGTGAGTGGATAATATAATTTGACACTGATTTAAGGAGAAATACACACACAAGAGCCATTCACCTTATGATTTAATGAAAAAAAGAAAAGACTTTTCTATAAAGCTTTTGAATGTCATAGTTCCCATAGTATGTTCTCATTGCTTAGGAGAAATAATAACACTGGTCTACAATTTTTGA